TAACTTTAACTAATTCCGACTCTTTTAACTCTATCCACATTCTCCGCTCCTCACTCTTCGACGCCGCCCTGCTCAATTGATCAGTTAGGTTAGAATTGGTGACTCGAGTTTGAGTTAAGCTACTATCTAGATGAGAAATTCTTGTATTAACGTTTTTTAGTTCTTTCTCATATGAGGATGAGGGTACTTTGCATGAAATAAAAACAGATTGTACCTTCTTTATCAGTTCATCGAGCTCACTGAACTGTTGGCTAAGTGGTTTGGCCGCAAAACACATATCCTCCTGTACCTTCGGTCCATCACTTCCTCCATCGGTGTTATCCCCTCATTTGAGATACGTCAGTTACCATGAAGCATCTTCCACCACTGCTTTCCTCCTTAGCCACATAAGCCTTTCCATGGGTAGGCTTCCTCACTTCCTCGTCTTCTGAGTCGGTAGACCAAACTTCCGTGCTACCGAACTCATCACCTTTAACCGAACCCTGCACAATAAGAGCATTAATAGAAGGGTTAGCGGTAGACTTTTTCTTTCTCAACTCGTCCAGTCTTTTCTGCAACACAGCTTCCTCGTCATTCCCATCATCTTTTTCAGCCATCTTCTTAAGGACGCAGTCCTTAGCATAGTGGTTTTTCCCACCACAGTAGAAACAGCTTACTCCGGAATCGCCATCCACCTTCGGTTCCTTCTTGTGCTCCTCAGCCTTCGGTTCATTGTTCACCTTTTCAGAGCTGTAACTCCCCTGCCAGTTTCGGTTTTTGTTGCTGGGGAATCTCTTCTTTATGAACCTCTTGGGATTGGACACCATCATGGCATAATCCTCTGATGTGAGATCATATTCCTCCAGGTTGAGGTCTTCATCCTCCATCACAGCTTTACTTTTAGATAGGAGGGCCAACGAACCAAGACTAGTAGCCATTCTTTTCTTGCACCACAATCTTCTCTTGGGACTTGAGAATACCCACCAGTTTCGCCAAAGAGTATGATTTAAACTGCTCATGGGCTTTAACTGTGGAAACCACTGCTCTCCATTCAGACCTCAGACCATTCAGGAAAGTAACCTTCTGTTCAATAAGCTTCCTTTCAATATCGTGTTTGATCATCTTGCTGAGAAGATGATTGAAGCGATCAAATGTCTGGGTCACGGTTTCTTCGACTCCTTGCCTTGAATTCTCCAAACTCAGATAAAAGCAAAGTCTGAATAGAATGTTCAAGATCCTCGTCTGTAGAATACAGTTCACGAAGTCTATCCCAAACTTCCTTTGCCGTCGTGCATGAGCTAACCAATCTGAATGTGTCGGACTGAAGGGCGAATCTGATCAACCTTAATGCCTTGATATTGCACTGGAATTTATCCTTTTCATCTTGTGCAATATCCTTCACGTCCTTTAGCAGATCATTGTACTCTTTTTGTGTCTTGATGATTCTGGACGTTGCAGAATGAGAAAACGGTCCATCGGTGATGGCTTCCCAAATGAGATACCCATTATCCTCCGATCCAATAACGTAGTCTTCGAAGTGATGCGCCCATACTTCATAGTCATGGGTGTATAAGATTGGAATCTTTGTCGTCGAACCAATGCTGTTGGAAATATTAATAAGGTTTGATTGTGTCGCGTCCATTATGATCGTAAAAACCTGTTCAAAGATCAGACTTGTAATAAAGCAGATTAGGGCAAAATAATAAATATCAAGATACGTCAATAAAGAGATGACGGCTCAATAAATATTGATAATTGCGGAAAAACCCTAATGGAAATCTTTTTCACAGAAAAGATGTGTATCAATTACACAGCCTCCTGCTCTGATACCAATTGATGAGATTCAACTAACCTTTAATCTATAAAGATCGATTAGATCTTGAACAAGTAAGTAAACAAAAACGATATAAACACAATAATAAGAACAAGACAAGATGGAATCAAACGTGTCGAATGATTAAACAAAATCCTCAGAAGAGCTCGATTAAGAACATCAACTGTAGAGGATTGGAAGGTTACAAGAACGATCAAAGAAACCTGATATCGTCTAGATGTACCGCTATTCTCGGATCTCTAAAAACCTTAACCTAATATGCATGCAAGCGTAAACTTATATACAAAACATAAAAGGTTCACGGTTGGACAGGCCCAAACCGGAATACAAAAAGCCTTATGCTAAACGAGCCCAAAAGACGCAATCTTCAAAAATGATCTCCAGCCCAACAATTGTGATTTTGTTTTTAAAAAATAGAAAAAGAACTTATATCTGATTACACCTTAGTCGTTTTTAGGGTTTTAGTGAGTCATTCTTACCAAAAAAACACCGACACCCCACACTACACTCTCTTCTTCTTGTTGTCACTCTCGTCAATGTCGAAGGCTCAATCGCAACTACTTTCTTAGTCGGTTGGCTCAATCGAAGCTTCATCTGTGTTCACCATCTGAATTTTTATGTTGTTTTCGTTTTATGTAACATAATTTGTTGATAGTTTTGATTAATTATGGTTTTCCGATTTGTGATTAGGGTTGTCGTGAAGAAGAAAGCAGCGCCGGCTCCGAAGAAAGCTCCGGCAACACCCTATACCACACTCATCGTGTTCGAATTCTTATTTGTCTAACAAGGTATGTAGAAGCTTTCACCGGATACTCACTTTTTCCTCTTATATGTCGTCGTAGTATGTGTGTGAATTTTCATTTGTGTTTGTGATTGATATTCAGATATTGTATTTTGTTGTAGTGGAAGAGATAATACACTGGCGTTTTGATTGTACCAACAGGAGTTGGTGCTTCGATTAGAGGTTACGCCGGTGATGCTTTACCTGTTGCTCGAACCCTAGCTTCAGTAGCCGACTGCGTTATTTCTCATCCCAATGTATGTTTTCTGCTTCTCTGTACTTCTTTTTCAAATTGTGATAATGTTGTGGTGTGATGATTCTGTTCACAGCAGCTAGAATTTAAGTTATCCCTTCCCTCCAAAACCTAGATTTTCTTTAATAATTGAAAATTCACAGGTTCATAATGCAACAATGATCTACTGGCCAATGCCAAATGTCATGTACACAGAAGGTTATCCCCTATATTAATTTGAGTTAATACATACGTCATTACGTAATATATGGTTACATTGTCATGATTTTGTTCGTGTAATCAGGTGGGATTAGTTCTTGATGTAGGAATTGAGGAACAACTACACATTCATCATCTCCAAGTAGCTGATGCAACAAGAGCATCACTTGGTTTACCAGTTATTGAGTATAGAAATCAAGTTTCCATGGATATCTTGCTTTTAAGAACTTGCAGGTGGAAAAGTGGATCAATCCAAAGAATGGACAGTCAACAGGGAGGATAAAACATCTTGATTCCCTAATAAGAGTTGTAGAAAAATTGTGTGATCCATCTATAAATGTTGCTGTTGTGGCTTGTTTTCTAGATGATGACATGGAAGATGTAGATGGTGTTCTTGCATTTGTATCTTGGGAAAAGATGTTGATAGTGTCATTCTTGTTTCGATTATTGCATTTGTTACTGTTTAGTTGCCACCCCTCTTGTTATATGGTTTTGATTTATTTTGGCAATATTTTTTTTATGATTGCAGCAAAGTTGATTCGAGTTAGGAATGTGACTGGTTTTCTGATTGCAAAGTTCGATGATGTTGTTGTTTCTATTTTGCTATTTTGTGTTGTTTTGCTTTCTTTTTTGTTATTTTGTGACTGTTTATGTTTTGTAGTTTGTTGTGGACTTGTTAAATTCCATTTGTTGTTGTTTTGTTGTTTTGAGATCAAGTTTTTTTTTTAATTGTTTTAGTTTACATCTTGAATTCCTATTACTTATAAAAGTTAATTTCAATGGCATGTATAAAATAAAAAAAAATTAATATTCAAAAACCCGGGTACCCGGAACCGGAACCGGTCTTGGCGGTTCCGGGAGCGGTTCCAAATTTCTAGGAACCGGTGTAAGCGGTTCCGGTTCCAATACCAATAATTTCGGAACCGCCGGTTCCGGGAGCGGTTCCGGTTCCAGCTAAAATAGGCGGGTACCCGGTTATGCTCGTCCCTAATTCATTCCATTCAAACAACATCTTTTAATACATCATTTCACATAATTTCATCATATACATGATGATCAAAAAAAGAAATCCTATGGTAAACTTATATACTTTTTCCTTCATTGCAATGGCATTCGAGTACTTTTCGTGTGCTTTTCGTTCTTCATTTGTTCCATGTCTTCCTTCACCTTCTCTTCTTCGATCTTCAACGCTACTGATTCAGCTTTCATTCCCTCCACCACTTCCATTAGAGGCATTTGTATAGGTTCTACATCCAACCATTTCTAATATTTGCATTTCCCCTTCAACACAAATAACTCATAAGAAGATTTCAAATCAGGAAAAATGAATCAGAAAAAGGGGGAAGACTCAAGTGAAATAGCTTACCTCATTGCACACCATGAAATGCCTCCCTAGATTCTTTGGTGTTGTTAACGTTAGAATACGTGCAGGGAACCCACAATCACACGTTTTTGGATCGTTCACTATTGATTTCTTGCTTGATCGATTTAGGGACGATGAGAAGCTTTAGGAGGAAGCCATCAGGGTATTAGGGCACAATAAAGGAACCACATGCACCCCTCTTTTAATAACATTAGCCCTACATACCACGTGGGGTCAAACTGACACATAAGATCGATTAATCTTTGCAACCGGCAAAAAGCAATTGTAATGGGAAATTTTACACGAATCAACAAGTTAAATGACTATTAAAGCACGAAAAAAAAATATAGTGACCAAATGTGACAAAAAACAATACTATGTTATCCTCTCAAGTCATTATCCCAAAAATGTTTTTTATCATGAAATTTTTTTTTTTTTTTTGGGGAAAAAATTTTGTTATTTACAAAAGGGTTGGAAAAATATGAGGTCCCTTAAGAAAAATATGTTAAAAAAAAAACACGAGACTAGTGAAAATCGAAAAAAAAAAAAATTATAAAAATGGAGGGTTCGATTACGAGGTAGGACAAAAGTACGAAAGATGATTAAAATAGGAAAATCAAATATAAGGAAAAATCGGTCCAATTGTTTATCGTTATTTCGTGAAATCTGTATTTCGAGCAAAAAGCACCACCGGCAAGTGTTTCGCCGCCGGCTGAACGACGTAATCGTTCCATTTGCTTCGGTAAGCAAAGTTCCGACCGATGGCTTTTCATTTGTATTCATTTCGCTTTGATTCACACAATCGATCCACACGCATTCCTCTTAATTTTCTCGATCATAATTTTAGGGCAATAATCCATGTATGATGTTCGAGGTAGTCCTCGTCTGCTTTTTCCTTAACGTGTTTGCCTATATGGATATAATCTCTCAGAACATGCGAATACATTAGGTTTTAATCGATTGGTTTTGTTTATTTATGAATTCGAGAGGAATCGGTGCTTAATTCGGTGTCGCATTTCGTTCTGTTAAAATCCTTCTGGTTACACGCATTCAACTTACGTTTCATCGATTGTTTCTGTATCCATAATGCCAAAAGCTTCACAGACATGGCATTATAATGTTATGGCGAGATTGTGCTTCAAAGAAGAGAAATCGCATCTTCTGTAATTCACGTTTTTACGTATATAACAATGTGACGAACATCTTTTTCTTTTTTCCTTTTTCTGTTTCAGCAATCAGATTACACAGCTACTTCTCACTCTAAGGTTTGAGGTAAACAAACAAGAGGAGATATGAGGTAACAATCATCAACTCCTTCTTCTTAAATCAATACCCTATTTCCATATTTTCTTGTAACGAAGGTTTTTGTTGTTAATAATTTATCTTTTTAACTGTTTCCATATGAAATTCGTAATTTAGTAGGAAAGGTGTGAAATGGGATGAAGCAAATCTTGGGGAAATTGAAGCAAATAAACCTGTAAGACAGAAAATCACTGAACCAAAGACTCCATATCATCCAATGCTTGATGTTGATGGTAAAATTCCATTTCTACCCTCTTCATTTCCAACCTTATTTTCAGCTTTATTTATTTATTTATTTTTTTGTTATTTTCAGGATCTTCGTCTCCCAATATACGTAGGGATACCAGTTTTCTAGAAGGCGATGACAACACCATTCATGCAGAAGCAATTCGTTCTGCATTGAATGACGTGGCATCTTCTAGTAATAGTAGTAATAACAACCTCCAACGTGCCAGCTGGACATCATCGGAAGATGAAGCTGATTACATGGACCAAGGTTTTATTTATTTATTTATTTATTTATTTATTTGCATTGTTTTGGGAAAAGACTTAAATGTCCTTGTGATGAATAGATTCGGAGACGGGGAGAGGAAAGGGGTTTAAAGAGCACAGGCGGGCCCACTACGATGAATTCCATAAAGTTAAGGAAATGGAACGGAAAGGTTCTCTGGATGACGTGTCGTCTGACGAGGATGGAGGGAATAGGAAGAAAACAAACGGGAAACGTGGGTTGTCCACGTCATCGTCCTCGCTGGCAATTGGTTTGGAGGATATTGACCTCAAAGACACGGCTACAGATTTATCGCCTCCGAGGGGATCTCACAATTGAATTGAATGTCATTCGATCCATGGCTTAATTGAATGTCATTGATGATGAATAAGAATTTTTCAATGTGTATGTGTGTGTATTTTCTAATAATAATTACAAATTTTCTAGAATCAATGTTTTATAATCGAATAATCATTACTCATATTTCTCATTTTTAATCATATACTACTAACAATTAGGAGAATATTATTGTTTAGCAACTAAAACATTTTATATGTCGAAACTATGATCTCCCAACCCTATTAGAGCGATTGTGGTTTGAAATTCACCACTTTTTCCATGAATTACTTGAATCATAGAACATAAACATTGATCTTTTATATTCTAATTAGTTTTAAATTGTATTTTTGTTTCCATTTTATGATATCAAAGCCACTTTTGAACCATAGATCACGTTATTAAATTTGTTTGTGATTGTTTTTATCACGTTCTTTGTGTTCTTTGAAATATTAAAGAAAATTGATAGATTCATTATTTTTTCGTAATGCTTTTATGATTTAAATGTTTTTACTTTAGAAAGTATTAACATAATTGTTATTTCACATGCATGAGATAACAATATTATTAAAGTCGTTCTTTCAATGTGGCGAGATGCGTTGTTTTTGTCCAAATAGTTTGTGTTTGAATATGTGGTTTTTTCTTGGTTGTTTTTGTTTGCTAGAGATTACTCACGATAACCGGTGGCACCCGAAAGCAACCGTCAAAAGTCTAGCAACGATGATTGTGGTAAAAAAAAAAAAAAAAAAAAAATCTCTTGCTATCAATTTTCGAGGCAATCTTAATTATTTTTATTTTTATTTTTGCATTGTGTTTAAATTGTTCATACTTTATTTTCAAATTGTTTCTTTTATTGGTCAAGAAATAAAAAATTTAGGATCGGGCTGACCAAACAAAATTTGTTTTAGTTGTTATTATTAAGGCATGTACTATCTATACACCTTTTACTTTCTACCATGATTGTAGAAATCGGGATTAATCGTGGATTAATCGTTTGACGTTCTCCAACCGTCGAGGATTAGGGTATTAATCGGAAATTTATGATTAATCGGGTTTGGCGGGATTAATCGGCCTTGGCGGGATTAATCGGTCAACAAAAGTCAAAAAAGTCGAAAAAATTCAAAAAAATATCAAAAAATTTTAATAAAATTTTAAAAAAATATAAAAAAATATTAATTTTTTTTTCAAATAATCAACTTTTTTTTAATCCAAAGTTTTCAAATTTTCAAAATTTCGAATATTATACTAAAATATTCATATTTTCGTATTTCCAAATTTCCAAATTACAATTTTTCTTATTTTCTAATTTTGAAGTACTTGTTTTTCTTAAGATATATTAATATTTAATTAATTTTAATAGTTTATTAATAACCTATGGTTTCCGATTAATCCCCGCCAAGACCGATTAATCCCTTAACACCAGTCGACTGTCGAGCGATTTTTACAACCTTGCTTTCTACTAATGCCCCAAATTATTATAGTATTTTTTTCTTTAAATGATTAAAATGATTAATTAATAATTTATCTTTTTGATTATAATGATTAATTAATTATTTCATATATAAATATATATATTATTTGTATGCAAACTATTTAATATATTTAGTAATATATTTTTATATTTTAAATTTATAAAACAAAAAAAACGTTTGTGATATATTATTTATATGCATCTAAAAAATTATTTTATATAAAAAATTGTATTTAACACATAGACAATGTTTATATGTATTACATTGTATGAAAAATATTTAATCTATTTAATAAAATATTTTAAATTTATAAAACAAAAAACATTTGTTATATATTATTTATATGCATCTAATAAAATTATTTTATATAAAATAATTATATTTAACACACGAGAATAATAAAATAATATTTCAACGGATAATAAAAAAATTCAAATACATCCGCACTTAATTGATATGTATCCAAGGTGCTACAGAACTACGAGGCCTAAGTTGATTGTATAGTTGATTGTATAACTCAAAACGAGACCAATACATAGTTTTCCATGTAGATGCTGACGAGCTTCTATGGGCATTCCAATACATTGTGGTAGGAGGCATTGGGTAATTTCCTTTCAAAAACACTGACATATAATGGATGCCATTTACAAATACCAATGTAATGGCTCGGTGGAGTTGAAACTCTTCGGGACCTCTCCAAAGAGGGAAGCATGTCGTAGATTGTTCGTGGCTTAAACAATGAACAATCACACCAAACTTGCTGGAAATCAGGTAACCAGTCAAAGGCATATGTAACCAATATCGAGAAGGTGCAGGTGTTTCAAACCAACGCAATGAATCGTATACCACGTTGAACCCGTCAGTAAAAACTCTATGATAAGCGTAATATTGACTCTCTAACTTTTCAAGTAATTGTTTTCGAATATAAAGCCATTGGTCTTCATTGTACCCTAGACAGACAGCTACCGTTCGAAACCCACAATTTTCATCACCTTCTACATCATGTATATCGTCAATATAATCATGAAATATATCCAGAATACTTCTTAGTTGGAATGGATTATGGCTCGGTGGTTCATCATTTAAGTCAGGTTCTTTATTTAAATCAAACCCAAAAAACTCTGATGTGGTTGAGAAGTTGTATCTACTAGGAGCTTGATTTGGAGGATTGGCTTTCTTTTTCTGGCGTTTCTTCACATTTGGTCGTCCACGAGTGTTTTTTTTTTTTGAACTATAGGCTCCCCAATGTCAGTTTTTTGCAGATCATATATCTCTTGTAGCTTTCTCATATAAGCTTGTTTCCCGGCTTTTGATTGCTTCTTGAAGCATTCTTTAATTTTTTCAACTATATCATCACCCAAAATATTGTCATCTACTACAGGTGTCGTATCTGAAATATCAAGCTTCCTCCAAAAGATATCTATTGAATCCAAGGGTATATCCTCACCTGCATTGAAATATAAAATAATTATTTATATAACATTTTAAAAATTATCTATATGTGGTAGCTGAACGTACGAACCTGAATTCGAGTAAACAGAAAGTATGCAAGCACATATTTGTAACCATAATTTGAGGAGTCTGAATTTAGATCATTCAACCTTTGAAACTCTCCTAATATTATATCTAAAGCTTTGTTTGAAACAAAACCACGCTGTAACCGAAAGCACTTCAAATTGTGGTGATTGTAGCGATAACATCTGTTGTTTTCAAAACATTCGTTGATCGAAGTTACATGTGACTGCACAATTTCAGTAATATTTTGCAGATTGCAATTTGGGGAGTCCAAAATTTTCTTTAACTTGGAATGTGCACTCTCAACTCTATTGTATGTGCGGTTTCTAAAATTTAGATGTTGATCAACCCAAACCGACACAAACATTTCTTTGTACTTATTTAACCATGTATCCTCTACTTATCTTAATGCACCTGCGAAATCAAATAAGTTAACAAATAAGTACATAAATAGTAATATGAAGGTTTTGATTTAAAACATAGTAAACAAACAAGCTTACATGGATAATCTGTGAACATTGATTGAAGTCGTTCATAGTTTTCCATGTATGCCATCCATGTTGGAGACTCGACTAGTAACATCCATTGTATTCTAAAGGAATCCTAATCATTTTTCAACTTGATAATTTTGTTGCAATGTTTCAAAATGATTTGCTCAATATGTCATACACACAGTAATCGGGCAACATCCGGAAAAACTGTTTCACATGCATTGATGATTGCCAACTCTCTATCTGTGATTATTACATGTGAGAGCATGCAATTCTCAAGTGTTGACTTTAGACAAATTAACACCCAAGTATAGTTGGCCTGATTTTTTCTATGTATGAAGCCAAAACCTATAGAGAATGTCTTTTGAGTTGAGGTCACACCAACTATTTGAACAAGCGGCTTATTATATTTGTTTGTTTTGTATGTGGCATCTATTATCAATACATGTGGAAATGCACGCCATATCTTCCAAGATGTTGGATGAACAAAAAAGAAATTCTCCAACTCATTTGAAGCACCTGTAGTAAGCTCATAGATATAATTATTGTTGTGCAAAATGGACATAAGAACATGCATTAGAGTTTTTCCAACTTTCTCGTGCATGCGATTCTTTTGTTGTGCATTATATATTGTTTTAATTACCGACACATTGTTTTCGTTTTGCTCCTTCAATGTTGACAAGATATGCGTGGCGCTAAATGCTTTCTTGTTAAATTTGCCACCAAACGATTCTCATCAACAGATAACCGTCGTACAAATGGATGACCCTCCATATGTTGTGCAGGTGCATGATTATGTTCATCACATTTTACCCTTAGCGTCCATCGATCCAATACTTTTGAATACTTTCCTTGCAATTCAAATTTACAATTAGTCTTTCTGCTTCCAGATGCTCTAATTGTGTTAGTAGCTTTATACTCTCCGCTACGATCACATGCAAGTATGACTTTATACACGAATCCGTTCACATATGCTTTTGATCTTTTTGTGATAATGACATATCCTAGAGATCGTGCTATGTTTTATGTCCATTCAAACAATTTCTCACTAGACCTGAATATCTGAAATTGAATTTTATATGTCTTACAATATATATATATATATATATATATATATATATATATATATATATATATATATATATATATATATATTTTATTTCAAAACATCACAATCTAGTATAATTATATAACCTGATCGGTGGAAAATTGCGATTTTTTAGTAGAAACATCTTCATCGCGAGCAGACAGGTTGATTCCGAACAACTTAAACATATCTATATACAAAAATCACAATAGATATATTAATATAATGTTGCACAAATACAAAAACCATAAGCTTTTATAAAATAATTCAATATTTTTTTAAACGGAAAAAATAGTGTATTAACATAAATAAATATTTGCTATTATTTTAATAAAAAAAATAAAAAAATGCAATACATAGATAATACTTCCGATTATAGTTTGTCGATAGAAGCTTCCACGTGAAGCCATTATTTAATTGGAACAAAATATATGCATTTATGTAAACTTTGAACAAAGGGTTAAAACGAAAAAAATTTAGTCTAACGGGCTATGAATATAAAATTGTAAGATACA